ACTGTGTGGAGATGGATAATGTATCCCTCCAAGCTTTAAAGTGTAAAAACATGTCATTTGAACCTCAGCAGGTGATCTCTGCTGTGACATCTCTAGCAGCTCAGTTCCTTTCAGATTCTTCAGACAAGGGTTCGTCCATTTAAAATGTAGAAATAACACTGACACACAGAAACAGAGGGTGGAGTCTGACAGTGCAGAGTGACTGAGTCTCTCTCTGTGATCACCGGAGGACTCACTGTCAGTGTCGGTGGAAGAAGATCTGGAAATATAAGGGTATATGTCAGATATAAATAGCTAAAAACTGAATTTATTAAAATAATTTCTGATTTTCTCTATAATGGCAGAGAGTAATTATTGATAACCTTTAACTCTTCTCTTAAGACTTGACCCCCTGTATTAAGAGCCACTGCTGTTTGTGTTGATAAAGATGTTTCTTATTATGTTTAATGGGCAATTCAATTTCGTTGTACCTGTTCAATGACAATAAAGGAATTCAATTCAATGGATATCATTGTAGGACACCCAATTTGACTGCAATACTAATTATTTTACTCGTAACATGGAACAATGTTTGCTATTGTGACAGGAAAGAAATATACTCAATAACAGCAAAGTTTATCAAAATATTAACAGACTAATAAACATCCCATATACTGAATTTCCCCCAAGGGGGATACATAGAGGTTCATCCCATCTTATCTTATCATATATTACCCAAGTGGACATTAAGATGATATATCAGAGACTGACCTTGTGTTTGAATCTTATGAAAGGAATCTGCCAGAAAATACAATGTGTTCACAAGGTCAACCAACATAATAATAATAATATAAATATAAATAATAATAATAATAATTGTTATTATTATTATAACATATTAATACCCTTAAGAAAGATATGAGTAGGAAGATAGAGATCAAGATAGACCATTCTTTTAATAGGAACTCATTTTTAAGGTCTGCACCACAGTTTCACGATAAGTTTACAGATAAAACCAGAATTAAAAACATAGGCATTCAATAAACAATAAGAACAGAAGGCAAAGCACACTCCATTAAGTGGAACTAATGTGTAAGTCTACATTAATAATGAGGAACTCTCCTGAAGGTATAACTTACAGATGAGGATGACGAACAGCAGACGTCCAGCCATGATGAAGCTTAATAAGACTTCTCAGATAGAAGAAGCTTGTGTCTCTGAGTATGTGAGCTTTGATGTACTTCAGTGTCAGTTCAGAACTTGCTCTCAGGAAAACCACAGCTAGCATTAAACATGAAACAAACAGGCCACAGAAACACCCACACTGTGCATCTAGTTGTTTCACATGATTTATTAAAAACGTAGAATATGTTATGTATTTATATCAAGTTTACCAAAGTGTCAGCTAACAGTTTCAGAAGAAAATGAAAGAGTCTACTCATCATGTGTTCACAAGCTGCTCACAACTTTACAGAAACATTTATCTTGTTCATGGTCTGCTTGAATCAAAC